TTATTATACTGTAAATAATTATACAGTCTTGTACCTATACATTGTCAAACTAAATAATAGTTTTTGTATGACGTGATTATAAATGGTCGAAAGCACGGGCTATCTAAGGTTAGGTTACCTAACCTAACATTCACGATGGTTTTGATGTCGTACATTCACAATTTTAGAAAACTGAAAATTAGGTTTTGAACAGCGCGTCGTTACCTATACAATATTGTGAAATATATTATTGTGGCACAATGATAATGATTGATATATTGATTTATAAATTAGACGGTATTCTCCCATTGACATCTAGTGAAAATAATACACATATACACTATAACTGTGCACTACATTTTTTTTTTAATCATATTTAATTTTATAGTTTCTGCGGTATTCATGAATTGACGTCATTTGTCACCGGCGAGATAGCTCGTATGCGCCGACATTGGATCATCGTCGGGTACATAGTTTGTCTTTAGTCGTTTATGTGGAACACAATACCTGAATGCAAATCTCCGATCAGTACGACCGAGCAATAACCACGAAATAATGTATACGATTGTTTATCGGTTACGATCGTAATGTGGCGGATGACGGGAGCGTGACGACGCAACATTTCCACGCTGTGTGTGCTATCTGTGTTGCCAATTATTTCGATTTATGCTGTCTGCTTTGAGTTTTCGTAATAAAATGCCCTGACGTGCACATATTTAATATATTCATTTTTTTTTAGTCGCATTACTGGCAGAGTAGTAGCTCACAGTGCTATGACTTTCACCTGTAGAAGGCCCTACGAATTATTTAAGTGTGTTGTCCGTTTGGACACCGGCATTCAATCGTCGGTGAGGGTGTACGAACATTTCCCTTCCTTCTCACTGTTGTTGAACCGACGAAAGATCGCGATGAGAAGCTTGAATGTCTCAAAACTGAAATGTCCGGCGACAAAACAAAAGTAAGCAAGGCACACGTGGGTGTGTCGAAGGGTGAAGTCGTGTTTGGCGAGTTAGACAAGTGCTCTTCAGCTGTCATCAAACGTAATCACGATTTGGTGTAGTGTATGTGATAAGACCTTTACCAGGATCGGTAGTCTACACAGATATGAAAAAAGACACGGAGTAATATCCAAGTGACGATGTAATAGACATAGAAAAGATAAACATCGTAAGTATTCTTTTTTTCACTGTATATAATTTATAAGACCAAAAAACATAATATACATTTCGTCAAGGATGAACATGACTTCACCCTTCGACACACCCGCGTGTCTTGGTTACTTTTGTTTTGTTGCCGGACATTTCAGTCTTAAGCCATTCAAGCTCAACATCGTGAACTTTCATATGTTCAACAACTATGGGAGGGGAGGGAAATGTGCGTACTCCCTCAGCGACGATTAAATGCCAGTGCCCAGACGGACAACATATATTAAATAAGCGTCCAAACCCTGTCAAGAGGAGTAAAGAAATGAATAAATTAAATAATTGCAAGTCGGAACATTCATTTGCGAAAACTGTGAACAGACGGTATACCTAGTCAGAAGAATTGGCAATACAGAAAACATACACAGCGTGGAAACTTCGAGTCGTCACACTCGCGTCATTCGCCATCTTGCTGTCGTACTGATCGGAGATTGCTACTAATCGATGTTTGTTAATAATAAAATGTATGTTGTGTTACACGCGGTCTGTACTTTTTTTTTTACTTTCCGATTAGCGGTAACGACTTGCGAAAGGTAAAGGCCGAGATGATGGGTCATTCAAAGTGTAACAATAATTTTGTACTGATAATTCAAAATAATATTTATAAAACCATCGTTATGGGCACAATGTTCAATGGGTTATAACGGAAAAATTCCAATTATTATAATAATTAATAATTGTAAGCCTATACGTTCCACGGCAAGTAAATTGACCTTACAAGACTTTTAAGAATAATCGCAATATGTGTCTTAATAAATACCTATATTTTTTTTCTATCATTAGAATAAGTATTAAATTAACAGTTTAAACATAAAACACTGTATTTTAAACTAACTTTATAGATTTATTTTATAGTTAAATTATAAGCATGTTTGAAATGTAAATATACTCGTAATGCTTATATTTTAATATTTATAAATGTATAATTTTATTATTCTTAATGGCTTGGCCACTATGACTGTTTATCGGGGGATATAGAATATATAACCCCAACGAAGTACTAAAGAAATTGAATAAAAATGTATTTAATAATATAATACAAATAATTTCATAAATAATTACTTATCAAAAAAAATGGTATTATGCATAACCATAAATTATATTTTAATGATTAAGTCTTAGAAATGCATGTAAAAAATGACCCCCCTCCCCCCCCTTCAAATTAGGAACTCATATAAAAGTTTAACAAATACTAACAGAATGTTTAAAATACGAAAACCTTAGAAAAGTAAACAATACTTACCTGAACAATTATTCGAAATCCAGAGACCCTACAAAGAAATGAACACTAAAGTATTAAATTTTTTGAAAATGTCAGAATTATACAACTTAATTTAATTAAGTAAAATACCAAAAATATTGATTAAAAAAAAAAAATAATTAATATCTGTACTCTAATAACAATGCAGTTGAAGCGTGTTTTGTTCAATGAAGAAAAGAACTGTTCAAAGTTATTGTTTAGACAATAAATTAAAACGACTTTTTCAACTGTTTTAAAAATGTTTGAAACATGATTTAATAGCGTTTTGTACAAAATATGCAATTTATTGTGTACAAGTATTATTGTGTACTTAGTAGATACTTACAAAAAACAATGGATTTATAATCTATTCATTTTCGCTTTATAATTTAATAACCGTGGTTGACAATAATTGATAATAGATAACTGATCTAGTTACTGCATACATCATGGTGATGAATGACAGAATATGTTGAAGGTTAAAATGATATCATAGTTAAGTACCTGAAGAGATACTGCTCTAGGTACCACAGAGAAATCCACTCATCATTGACTCGGAGTTCCTTTATACCGGCAATATTTCACAGCAACAAATATGATTGTACCGCACAATGATTTCCTACGAGAGAGGGTTAGCCTTCGCTCTGAATCGTTTATCGTAATTTAACACAATATAACCAATCACAATGACTTACTCGACGACGACGAGGTAGTTATACTGGACAATCGACCACGTCTTCAATATTGTTCGGCAGAGCGTTACCTGCCCAGCGTTTTAGTGTTATAATATTTCGCTTAACCTCGCTCTAATGTTGTATTGCGTGAAATACCTATGTGATAAAATACCACCGTCATTGACCTTCGTCTGGATATTTTCCATTTCGCAGTCGAATTCCAACAACGTCATGCGATCTTAGGTACCCCTATTGACGGCCACCGCGGACTCGATGATAGTAATAATGTTATTATTATTATTATTATTATTATAACTTTAGGTAAATATCGCGGCGCAATAGTAAAATATAATACAATACCTACTGGCAATTAAAGTATTAACGCCTATTGCAGAGGGTTTCCCGAGGAGTATTGTGATATGGGTCTGAGAGACTAATGACTTCCGTTCAAGTCGTAACACAATATGCACATCAAATATTATAAGCCGCGAATAAACCGTGTACACTGTACGGCGTCCGTCCATTAATAATTATTATATCGTTAATTCACCCGACCAAATCCACGGTGAGCTCAGTACACATTTAGCAGCAGCTGTGCAATGGGTACCTATGTATGTTTATATATATTTAGATTGAGTGGGCATATGCGGCGGCTGATATTATGTGTAAACCAGGATGAAGCTAACCTACCGCGAGCGAATAAGTAATGCGATAATTTTGTGCACACGCTTGCTCCTCGGGGTTTTCGTCCCGACGCTTTTTGTTTGCACGCCCATATTTCAAACGCTCGTGAAAAATTGATAGGCACGGAGTTAGTTTTTTTTTTGGTGGTTAGTCCAACGAGCTAAAATGTGCAGGAAGAAGGAATTTAAAAATAGGCGTTTTACCTCTAAATATCATGAGTCGTGGTACGAGTACTCCTCACTGTCTGGTTAACTTTATTTCGATAAATCCGATTTTATTCTTCCATTACATTACTCTTCACTTAGGATTGCATGCATTAGATGTTTGTGACAATGTATTTCATGCAAATATACATAAACTGTTGCGAAACGAGTAATGTACGCTTTCCGATAAGTACATTTTCATCAATAATGTTGTCGCGTGACTAATATAGTTAAATCCTAAATAATTGTACGGTCCACACACATAAAACGAATTCGTTCTTTGAATTACTTGCCCGCCACGTCCAAACACATCCAATTTAGTAGATTATATTATTTAGATATTGGAAGGACAATTAATTAATTAATATTGAAATATTATTTGCTTGTATAATAATATTACTAGACTGGGAGTCAAGAGTTAATCGCGGACATTTGCTTAAAATTTAAATTTAAATTTAGTTAAATTAAAAAATAATTTATCACTGGTAATACATAATGTGTAAAATAAATCTTTGACAATCTTTGATGGAACACCAAATACATACAGCATATATATATATATGGGTCACCAATTAATATTTTTGTCGGAGCCACATTAGGAAACTGACAATTATTCGTGGGCCTTCAAAATTATTACAGACTTCGGTAAAAACCAATGAACAAAAATGATGAATTCAAAATAGATTAATATACATTTTTTTTGTCTGCTGGCTTAATAAAAATGTACTGGCTGAATACAATTAGTGCTTTCGAATGTAATAAGTTATTGAGTAGAAGTAAAACGTTTGTTATTTATCATTATATGTTCTTTCACAGTTTTGAAAGTCTTAATTTCAGTGTTATATTTAAAGTGATTATTATAATATTATATTATTATATATTCTCAAATGCAAACGAATATGACGCCAATTCAAGTGTACTGCCGACTGAAGCCGTCAGTAGACTTAATAAAAGTACGCCGATATTATAATTTATAAATTAATTTTTTTATAATATATCCATTTCTTTAAATTTATAGTATCAAATCATACCAACTAAAAATCAACTAATATACTACAACAAAAGCAAATTGGAAAAATTCCAGTAAGTTTATATCACATATTAAGTGGCGCTCAACCCGTGGACAGACGTATATGTATACATTTGAAGGCCCACGATCAAATTATTTTGAAGCATTGCGTATTTTTTTTTTTTGCACTTATTTGAAGATTTAATATAGGTGTTTTATTTTTATTTGAAATGTGGCCCTCGAGCTTTATTAAAAATAATATAGTTCGCGTAATTTAAGATTATAACCAGTCAAATATTATAGAACCATTGAACCGTTTTAAATTTTGTTTATGGAACACCGTAGAACAAATCAAAATCAGGATGCGCGTAACGGACTCTAACCTCAAACCACCCGGTCATGATTTTAACTTACGCAGAGTATTATATACGAGCCTAGGGCCTCTGAAATGATCGATGACCCTCTGGTACAACGTATAAATCAGAATATATATTTTATGAATTAATATTTTTAGATTTCAAAAAGTATTCGATGACAATACAACTCAGAGTTCAATTTTCGAACATGTGGCCGTTCCGATACTAGACAAGTAAGAATATTATTATTTATTGTAATTGGTGGGGCATAAGATGTGCATCATTTTTGAACAACTGTAGAATAAAACTGTTGAACTTACAGAAATGTGGTTTGTATTTTTCGATACAACAGTGTATCTAGTTTATTTGCAGTAAGGTTTAAATATTACATATAAAAGATGGCAGCCGTCAGCAGCGATGCACTCCTGTTGACGATTTTGGATTTCGGACGATTTGATGCGATCCCTGATTCTCTCTTTAAGTTCGTCAAGAGTTTCAGGAAAGTGTTTAAACACTTTTTCCTTTAGGTATCCCCAAATGTCACGAATTCTCAAATCTGATGAGCGGGCAGGCCACTTCACGTAACAACTCAAAGACACCAGGTGCTCTAACGTCCTAACCATGGTGGCAACTGACAAACGATAAAACAAGAACCACGAACACAATGAATCTTTCTACAAATTCTTCTCACAACCACATGCCAAGCTTAGGCCATTCAAAACCAGTAAAAATCTTATGCCCTATCTTGTATAATATTATAGACTCTAGACAGTGCCTTATAGGAAAAACCCGGGACACTAATATCTTAGCACCCATCTAAACTTACCGACTTCTACTAAATATCTGGAATTTAATATTATTATATATTAACTATCTAAAAAATAACTCACTATGATTATTATGATGACGTACGATGATTTTTAATCAAATTTCGATCACGACAAATGCATGCCTATAAATATTATAAATACTTAATCGAATATGTTATTTCAGGTATTTATCTGGTACGAATGGCACCATCTTTGCATATGGACAGGTGATGATTATTTTTTGTTGTATTGAAATGATTTTTATCAACACATATTACTAACTGATTTTATTTTATAGACTGGTAGTGGTAAATCCCACACTATTTATGGATCCCGAGAAGACGAAGGTATAATTCCAAGATCTTTGAAATACTTATTTGACAATAAGTTATCAATTCAATCCACAGACGGTAATTATTATATTATTGCATTTAAATATTATTTATATTTTTTAACCATTTTCAAAAAAAAAAAAATGTAGAACGTAACATATTCTCAATGGCATACTTTGAAATTTACAACGAAACGGTATATAATTTATTGAAATCGCCAAAAAATAGGAAGAAATCAAATGTTAACTTTAACAATCTGGGACCTGAGTAAGTTTTTCAATTAAGAAATAGTATAAAAAAATACTATTAAAAATAATTAACTAAGTCGAAGGAAACACATTATAATGATACATAATAATATATTTGATATAATTTAGTAATGCTGTACGTTTCACGGTCGATAAAAACGGAGACGTTACATTCAAAAACCTGAATATTATAAGGATCAAAAACGTGTCTCAGGCGTTTAAGCAGTTGATATCAGGCAATACTAGACGGCAAGTTTCATCGACCTTCCTTAACCATAAATCAAGCCGATCACACTGCATATGTAGAATTGAGTACGTCAACTGGAGGAAAGGAGAGAAATCGAACAAGACAGTTCTAAATTTGGTGGACTTGGCAGGGTAAATATATTTTAATAGATTCCAACCAAATGGGTTGATTTCAATATCATGTGTTTTTTTTTAGCTCTGAATGCATTTCGAAACTAAACAACGACAAAAAGACTATCGTCGAATCCAAATACATAAATTTATCCCTGATGCATCTGCATCAGGTGATAAATTGCTTGGCCAGTCCAGTCCAGCACACATACGTACCCTATCGAAACTCAGCAATAACACGATTGTTGAAGGGTTCGTTAGGGTACAACTGTTCTACCGCGATGATAACAACCATCATTTTAAACCAGCGTGGTTTAGTAGTACGTTTATTCAATAACGCTCACGAAATGTCTGGTAAATTGATTATAATCTTTGAGTAACTATTTCAGGAATCAACGTCCACCTGAAAATATGCAAGAGACGTTTCCGGCATAAAGCCCATTGTTACGAAACCAATAGTACGGAAAAGAAGATTTGCAAAGAAAGCTGCTAAGAAAGTAAATTTTTGATGCATATAATACATAATATAATAAATAACAAATATTAAATACATTGAAAAAAGACATCAAAATATAATATAATATTAATTAATGAATTTTCTCGATGTGAATACATTATAACTATCAAATTTAAATAATATACTCTCTCGAGACGCCATGGTCGAGAGATTATTAACACGAATAATTCTTGGGGTGCCAGGTCGACTTAAACGGTGATGACGAGGGACATTCTGTGAATTGTGAGCCCCAGACCGTAGTCGTACACAATGACGACTCGGCGGAAGGCATTATTGCTGATAAAGAATCTGGTGAAAATAGCTGTATGGAGCTCGTTCTCGTGAACAAAAATTGTGGTGACCAGATGACCAAGGTGAATTAAAATTAAAACTTAAAAATCAGTTGTTTATCATCATATACGTATTGAAATTATTTCGTTTTTTGAACACATTTTGATTTAAATAATTATCTAGATATATTAGTCCGACGCTCTGCAGACAAAATAATATTTACATGAAAGGTAGACCACACACGCGTGTGGCATGCGTCTACAATCTTCATAAATATTATCGTATACTGTAATAAGTACCAACTGTGTAT